GGGTTCCTTAAGGCCAACGCCCCGACTGCAGCCGCCGGGGAGGCAGCGCGCAGGCGGGCGCCCTATAGAGAGAGCGGGGGCGGCCGTGGGGCCCCCCCGCCCGCGGCGCAGCCCCCGCCCGGCGGGCCTCCGCGCGCGCCCGCCTCGCTGGCCCCGAGCCGCGGGCCTCCCCCCGGCCTTCGAAGGAGGAGGAGGAGGGGGGGGAGGAGGAGGAGGAGGAGGAGGAGGGGGGAGGAGGAGGAGCCGCGGCACCCCTTGGCCGCAGCTGTCGGGGACCCCGACTCGCGACGTGCTGATTTTCTCACGACGGCGTCCCTGGAGGTCCCGACCCTCTCCCCGGGGACCGGTTCTCCGTCCCGGGTCGCTTTTTGCCGCTCCCGAGGCCCGGCGAGGGCCCCCAGTGGCCGAACGTACAGAAAAACTTGCCGTCCCTCTTTTTTTTGGTAAAGAAAATTTCCCCAGTGCGACCCTACCTAGAAGTTGGAGCCCCTAGGAAAGCAGCATTAGTTGCTATGCTATGCTATGCTATGCTATGCTATGATGTGTCATGCTATGCTGCGCTATGCTATGCTATGCTATGCTATGCTATGCTATGCTGTACTATGCTATGCTATGGTATGATATGCCAAGCTAAGCTATTCAATGTCTTGCTGCGCTGAGCTATGCTAAGACATGATATGCTATGCTATGCTATGCTAAGCTGCGCTATGCTATGCTATGATATGCTATGATGTGCTATGCTATACTCTGCTATGCTGCGCTATGCTATGTTATGCTGTGCTATGCTTGGCTATGCTATGCTATGCTATGCTATGCTAATGCAGCGCTGCACTATGCTAAGCTAAGCTAAACTAAGCTAAGCTAAGCTAACCCTCTAGGCAGAGCCTAGGTAGGGAATTACACCCATGCTAATATGCTATGCTGCGCTATGCTATGCTACGCTATGCTATGCTACGCTATGCGATGCTATGCTGCGCTCTGCTATGCTAAAGCTCAGCGGAGCTATGTGAAGGTAAGCCAAGCTAAGATAAACCTGAGCTAAGATGAAGCTAAGCTAAGCTAAGGTGAAATAAGCTAAGCTAAGATGAGATACGCAACGCTAAGCTAAGGGGACGTAGCTGGGGGAACCGCGGGGCGGATCCTGGGGGAGCCGCCCGGGGCGAGGCCCACTGCCCGGCCCCTTTGACACAGAGAGTAAGAATCCTACCTAGGCAGAGCCCAGGTAGGGAGTCAAGTACGATGCTCATTTCTCGTTACATACACACGACGCGATCATGTCCGGGGAGGCAGCGCGTGCTGCCGCCCTCTCCCCCGGGCAGAGGCGCCGGCGGCGCCGCGCGCGCTCTGGACGCCCCCCCCCGGGGGCCCCCTCGTGCCCCCCGCGGCGCGCCCGGCGGGGGCCGGCCGCGCTGCCTCCTTTGCTGGCCCGTGCGGGGCTTCGCCCCCCCCCGTCTTCCAGGGCTCGTGTCGAGTCGGGCCTGGCCCTCTTCTACTCGGGGGCGGGCAAAAGATGTCAAATCTATGGGGGGTCCTGGGGTTTGTGTGCATTTCTCTGCGTGTCCCAGGGCCCCTTCGCTGTGCCGGGCTTCCCCCCCTTGTCTTCCAGGGCTCGTGTCGAGTCGGGCCTGGCCCTCTTCTACTCGGGGGCGGCCAAAGGATGTGAAAATATAGGGGGGTCCTGGGATTTGTGTGCATTTCTCTGCGCGTCCCGCCTGGCTCTTGACCGGAAGAGGCCCGCTCTCGACCCGCCGGCCAAAAAGGTGTATTTCTCTGCGTGTCCCAGGGCCCCTTCGCTGTACTTAGGGATGCCGGGGCGGTCGGTCCCTGCTCGAGGTCGGCCCCTGTGCCCGGGGCTGTCCCTCGGAGGCCCATCCGGGGCAGCGCTGCGGGCAGTGCCGAGGGGGGGGCAAAGAGGGGGGTGATGATTATAGGGGGGGAGATATCATGGCGGTGGCCATGATATCTTTCCAGATTTCATGACGCCGCTTCTTGTTTCATGACGTTCCCAGCCCCTCCCCTGGGCCGCGCACATGCCGCCCACCATGATTGGCGCCCCCCCCTCTTGGACGCCCCCCTCGTGGCCGACCCCGGTCTGCAGGAGGAGTGCTCAAACATAGTGTTTCTTTGACCATGTTGGGGTATTGTTTGGCTATTTCTTATTTTTCGTCCAGGCTCGTCACGACTCCTCCGATTCGATTCGATGCGGTTTCGGTTGCTTCCAATTCCCGGTCCTCCAGGGCTCGTCTCGTCTCCTCCAATGCGATTCGATTCGATGTCGATGGCTTCCGATTCCGGTTCCGAGTCGACTCGGGACGCCGATCTGGGTTCCGATCTCTGATTACTGGCCTGCCCATTTTTCCGCCGATTCGACTCTCTTTCTGACTCGGCTGCCGATCTCCGCCGATCCGCTTCGTGTCGATCGCCGATCCGACCTCTCGGCTCGATTCTGCGCTCGCCTGGCCCTCGGATCCGCAGACCCATCGGGGCCAGCGCCCTCGGGGGCGCCCTGGGCCCCCCTCCTTCGAGGGGCCCCGCTGTGTGCCGAGCCGCGGAGGCAGCCCCGGGCTTCTGTCCTCCTCCCTTCTCCTCCTCCTCCTCCTCCTCTTCCTCCTCCCTCCTCCTCCTCCTCCCTCCTCCCTCCCTCCTCCTCCTCTCCTCCTCCTCCCTCCCCCCCTCCTCCTCCTCCTCCCTCCTCCTCCCCCCTCCTCCTCCTCCTCCCTCCTCCTCACTCCCCCTCCTCCTCCTCCTCCTCCTCCTCCTCCTCCTCCTCCTCCTCCTCCTCTCTCCTCCTCCTCCTCCTCCTCCTCCGCCGAGGAGGCTCCGCCGGGGTGCTCTGGGCCGCTCGGGGGCGTGCCTCCCGCCGCAGCTCCTGCAGCTGCGGGCCTCCTCGGGGCTGCCGCGCGGCCTCCTCCGATAGGGGGCCACCCAGGCTCGGCGACGCGCCGACGCCGACGGGTCGACCGCACGCTACTGGGGAGGGGCTGTGTAGGGGGCCACATGCGAGCCCTACCCCTACCCCCCACGCTTTCGGAGGGGGAGGGTGGGGTTCACTTTGCCTGGGAGCTCCGGAACGAAGTGAACCCCGCCCTCTCCCTCAGAAATCGTGGGGGGTAGGGGTAGGGTTCGCATGTGGCCCCCTATTCGAGGCTGGCGCTGGCTGGTCCGGGTCGTAGACCCGCGGGTGCTGCTGGCGCTCTGGGCAGCAGCGCTCGTGTTCTCCGGGCTGCCTGGGGAGCCTTGGGGTTTCCGAGGCGGGAATGCGTACATGACCACCGCCTGGAGGCTCAATTCGCGGGGACCTCGCAGGCGGTGGGCATGGGAATATTCGGGCCCCCGGGGGCCAGAATCTATCTATCAATTTATCTATCTATCTATCTATTTATCTATCTACCTACCTACCTACCTATCTATCTATCTATCTATATATCTATACCTATATCTACCTATCTATCTATCTATCTATCTATCTATCTATCTATCTATATATCTATATATCTATCTATCTATCTATATATCTATATATCTATATATCTATCTAGCTAGATATATGTATATACATCGATCTATATATCTACCTACCTACCTACCTATCTATATATCGATATATCTATATATGTATATATGTATATATCTATATACCTATCTATATATATCTCTATATATATCGACTTGTCATCTATCTATCTATCTATCTATCTATCTATCTATCTATCTATCTATCTATCTATCTATCTATCTATCTATCTATCTATCTATCTATCTATCTATCTGTCTATCTACACATCTATCTATCTATCTATCTATATATCTATCTATCTATCTATCTATCTCTATCTATCTATCTATCTATCTATCTATCTATCTATCTAGCTATATACCTATCTACCTATCTATCTATCTATATATCTATCTATCTATCTATCTATCTATCTATCTATCTATCTATCTATCTAGCTAGCTAGCTAGCTAGCTAGCTAGCTAGCTAGCTGGCTATCTATCTATCTATCTATCTATCTATCTATCTATATCTATCTATCTATCTATCTATCCATCCATCCATCTATCTATCTATCTATCTATCTATCTATCTATCTATCTATCTATCTATCTATCTATATCCACGTCCAGCGCCCGCTGGGGCACCAGGGCGTCGTTTTCCAGGCGGTGGGTATGGATAAATCCCCGCCTCGCACGGTTGGGGTCGTTCTGTTGGCCCTCCTGCCCGTGGGCCGTCCTGCCTTCAGGTGGCCCGCGGCCCGCGCTCTCTTGGCTTGTGCCGGGCCCTCCCGCGTCCTCGGTTCTGCCAGCCTCTCGGGGCCGGCGCCCTGAGGGGGGAACCCTGGGTCCCCCTCTCTCGAGATGCCCGCTGTGGACTGAGCTGCGGAGGCACCCGGGCCCTGTTGGGCTCGTTCTGCTGGTGCTCTGGGCCGCTCTGCTTGCTCCGGCCGTCGCCCCGACTGTCCTCTAGGTTGCCGCTGTGGTTTCTGAAGCTGCTCCGATGGCTCTGGTCGTAGCTGTGCTGGCGCTCGAGCAGGCTCTGCACGTTCTCTGTGTTGTCCTGGAAGGCCTGGCTGCAGTCGCTCTGCCGGTCATCGCTGGCCTCGGGCGGCTGGCGGGGCAGCTCCGGAGGGCGCGCGGCCCCGGGGGAAAGCGACGGCACCGCAGGTGCAGGCGACTGAATTGGTGGCGACCTGGGCCCAGTGGGCCTGGAGCCTTCGCTGCATCTCACTCTCGACGGCAGCTGCCTTGGTATTGAAGGAGGTGTCCGCGACGAAGGCTGGCAGGAAGGCCGGTGCCTCCTTGCGGAGGCTGGTTGTCTCGGGCCCGTGGGTGGATGATGCTTCTTGTGGCCCGTGGTCACAGCACTCTTTTGGCTTGCGCTGGGTCATCCCCCGTCTTCGAGTCTACTGGCCTCTCGGGGCCAGCGCCCTGGGGTGCGCCCTGGGTCCCCCTTCCTTGAGGTCCCCACTGTGGACGGAGCTGCGAGGGCAGCCGGGAACCTGCTTCTCGTTGCGCAGCTGGCGGTCGTAGGAGTTCCTCTGGTTCTCGTAGCTCTTCTGGTTTCGGCCGGGACGCTGCTGGTTCCAGCCGGAGTTCTGCGAGTCCCAGTTGGTGTTCCGCTGGTTCCAGTTGGAGCGCTGCTTGTTCCAGTGGAGGTTCCGCTGGGCGTTCCAGTTGCTGCGCGGCGTGTGTCCAAGCGGAGGATGCGGACTTTGGTGTAGCTGGGTGTTTTCTTCCTCGCGGAGTAGGCAATCCTGCGAGCAGCGGCCTGCTCGTGGTGGCAGTGTCTCGGCAGCGTGCTGTTGGTCTCGTAGCCCTTGTAGTCGAAGGCGCCGGCGTAGGTCTCGTCGCCGCGCGTGGGTCTTGCAGTCGCGGGCTCCACGCTGTTGGCTACTGCGCGAGGCTGGCTGGCGTCGCGCGTGGCCATCCACCCCCGCTCAGGCCCCCCCGCCCTGTCGGAAGGGGAGCGGGGGAGCTTCCCCGAGGGAGGCACCAGTTCTCCTCCTCTTCCTCCTCCTCCTCCTCCTTCTCCTCCTCCTCCTTGGCTTGCAGCTGTGCGAATGCTGCTGCACGCCCCGGGCTGTGGCTCCTTGTGGAGCCCTCGCGCGGACTTCCGATGCTCCTCCTCCTCCTCCTCCTACTCCTCCTCCTCCGTAGCCATTTGGGCTCAGGGCCTCGTGCCTGATCGGCGACTTTTAGTCCTCTGCTGACAGCATGCCTCGCTTCACAGCCAGGCTCGGCACATGTGGTGCCCATGCGCCACGCCCCCTCTGTGTCTGCTGCTGCCCAGCTCATGCGCGAGGTGCTCTAGTCGCCATCGGAGTCCGTGAAGAGCACCGCAATATTGCCCCCTGCGCAGGTCGCCAACACTGTGCTTGAAGAAGGCGGCGTCGTGGTCCTCGCCAGCCTCCGCATTCTTGCCGCACTTCACAGCCCCACTCTCGCCAAGGGCCTGCGCTGGCTGCGGGACGCTGGCCGCAAGATGCCGTCGGCATTGGCCCGAGACGTCCGTCCCATCCATCCGGCTGCGACACTCCTCAAGCATCCAGGACTCGCCGACCAAACCCTTCGCCTGGCCGTCTCGGGTCTAACCGACGGCTCCACCATGGACGACGGCCTGGAGGTAGGGAGCCCCTTGGCTGCAAACGAGTTCGAGGAGTTCGAGCGCGCCTTCTTTCCCGTTGGCGGCTCCGTTTCTGTCGCTCTGGACTACGACGAGGTGGAGGAGTATGAGCGGGGATTCCTTCCCGAGGTTGCTGACGATGTTGGCGATGTGCATGGGTTTGCCGAGGTACAGCTTGCGGATGCACTTACTCGGGACCTCCAGTTTCGGTTCAAAGAATTGGACAATTCGGTTGATGCGATCCCCACGTGGTGCGGGTTCTCTGTCACAGGGCCTGCCGTCTACGCGGCAGACGTTGACTCGGTCTTTGTGTATTTCAATTTCGATCATGCGATGGGCGACATAACGAGGTTCTACGAGGACTTTCTGGGCGAGGCCCAGGAGTACGTGGGCAGCCTCTTGCTCGAGTTCCGCGCTTGTGTGCAGCTCGTGGTTCATTACAACGAGTACGACGTGGACAATGGCGTTCGCATTTTTGTCTGAGGTTCTAGACGGGTCCGACTCCGAAGGTCAGGGGTGATCTCAGCTGAGGGCCCGCCCGTTTACTGGTCAGGTATCGCCCTTGCCCCACCCTGGCTGCCCTCTCGGCTCCGCGTTGTGGGTTCGCTTTCTCGTTGTTGCGGGCTTTTCCGCTTCCGCTTTCCCCTTTCCTGTTGTCTTCCTTGTAGGTGTGTGTTCCGTTAGACGGCGCAGCAGCTTAAGCAGTCTTCTGCAGCCTGAAGTGGGAGCATTGATGCGGTATCGAAATTGGGTCGGGTCGGCCAATTTCCTTGCCGTCTTCAGTGGCCAGTGTCCTCCTCTTCCTCCTCCTCCTCCTCTTCCTCCCTCCTCCCTCCTCCTTCTCCTCCTCTTCCTCCTCCTCCTCCTCCTCCTCCTCCTCTCCCCTTCCTCCTCCTCCTCCTCCTCCTCCTCCTCCTCCTCCTCCTCCTCCTCCCCCCTTCCTCTTCCTCCTCCTCCACCCTCTTCCTCCTCCTCCGCCTTCTCCTCCGCCTCCTCCTCCTCCTCCTCCTCACCCCTCCTCCTTCCTCCTCCTCCCCTCCCTCCTCCCCTCCAGTCCCCTTCCTGCTTCTTCCTCCGACCTCTCTGGCCGCGCGCCTCCCCTCCTGAACCCATCCCTCCCTCCTTCCTTCCGCCCTTGCTTCCTCCCTTCCTCCTCTGCCGTCTCTCTCCCTCCTGGCCCCTCCTGCTCTCTCCAGGGCCGCCCTCGAGGGCGCGAAGTGGTTCGCGCTTCGCACTTCGCGCTTCGCGTCTCGCGGTTCGGCTACGATTCATTGGCGTACGCCACACCGCCGACCCCTTTGGGGGCGGCAGCAATCGTCCCCCGCGTGGCCTGTCCTGTGCGGACAGCCTGTGAGGCCCCTCTGGACACGTTTCGGAGCCCTCTTAGGACCGTCCTGCCGTCCCCCGGGCCGTTGCTATGGTTTCTGGGGCCTCCGTGGGGCGCCCGGAGGCCGAGCCTTTAGGAGAGTCTCTTGGGGTGCCAGAGGTCGATCTTGGGGGTCTGCTGGGCCGTTGTGGGCCTCGTGGAGGCCCAAGAAGCGAATGTGCTGAACACATACGTTTTCCCTCGGGAATGGGGCGGTTTTTGCTTCTGGAGGCCTGCTTGGAGCGCCTCGTGGTCGCGTGTGCAAGCGTCTTGGACGCCCATGGGGCTGTCTGGAGGCAATCTTGGGCGGTTTGGACCGAATCGTCCCCCGCGTGGGCCGTCCGGACGGCCTCTGGGAACCCTCTTGGCCCGTTTTGGAGCCCTCTTGGGACCGTCCTGCGGCTTTCCTGGGCCGTTGCTATGGTTTCTGGAGCCTTCGTGGATCGCCCACAATTCGTCTTGGAACTTTTTTGGGAGCCCTTTCGGGTGACAGGGGTCGCTCTTGGAGGTTTATTGGGCCGTTGTGGGCCTCGTGCAAGCCCAAGAAGCGAATGTGCGGCTCCGATTCCTCCTCGTCTTCCTCTTCTCCCTTGGGGGGCGGCACGAAAGCGCGAGGTGATTCGCGCTTCGCGCTTCGCGAATCGTGAAGCTCTCGCCCTCTCCTCCCGCTCCTGCCCCTGCCCGTTCTCCCTGCTAGTGCGCCCAGCACCCTGCTTCCGCGCGGCCTCCGAGGGGGAGTGCCAGGAGGACGGGACCTGCGTCGAGGCGATGTGCCTCCGGTGAGCGGCACACAGCGCAAGGGTCGGGAGACTTGAGACGGGTGTTCAATGCAAACGGGGGTCAGCCAGAGCGTCGGACCTTGGAGGATCCTGCACGGCCAGGGGCTCTCTGACTCGAGCATGCGTGCAAGAACTTGCAGGATTCTGCAGGATCTTGCAGGATCCTGCGAAGCCTAACTGACCCGAGTTTGCATGAACCCGGGCCAGTAGATCCCCGAAGGGGGCACGGGCCGCAGGGAGGAGGATGAGGACG